AACCTCCGTTCTCCTACCTACCCACTTCCCTCCCTTCCTTTCCCCCCCTCCCTCCCTCCCTCCCTCCCTCCCTCCCTCCCTCCCTCCCTCCCTCCCTCCCTCTCTAAGCATACCTCCACCCGGGGGAAATCTGCCAAGATTTGCCGTAGCCGCTCCGAGTAAGTTTGCTGGGTAAATTTGACCTTACGCATGTAAAACGCCCTGAGACATGGGCATGGGAGAGAGGAAGTATGAAAAGTAAGTAGAATACAGGGTCGGTGATGAGGGTCCAGTCCCTCTCGATTTGGAGCATACGGGAAACAACAGGACCATTGCACCGCGCATGTCTGCGGTTATTGCACCCACTCCATTGCACACATATTTTAAAAATGCACCTATGCTATCATGCCATCATTGTTACTCCTTATGCTTTACGCCGCCCTCCCCTTCTCACCGAATGCGTGAGATCTTGTAACCAGGATGGACGACAGTGGGGGTCTTCCGCTGCGTGCGCGTCAAGACAATGTCCACAAAATCCCCTGCCGACGGCACGGGCTGGATCTTCTTGAAATTGTACACGACCATCCTGCTCTGAAGGGGTATCATGAAGCAAGAAAGATAAGTATATGGACTCGGGAGCCGCCAAAATGAGGAAAGTGCCAGTATCCAACAAAAGGGCTTTGAACGTGCTGCTTGCCAGCTATGGCCCCACATTGGGACCGCTACGACGCCGCGTTACCGTCCAAATACCACGGATCCCACCGATGTGTTAGAACATGCCGTGATCAGGCACAAAACGCGTGGGAACAAAGGGCCGCGACATTGCAAATGGCCCAAATGTGGGCAAAAGCTCTTGGCCTCGCGAAAGCCACTGGAAGCGACGCGCGACGCGAGCGCATTGGCCGAAGGCCATGTCACATTCAACTTCACACAAAAACCAAACGAGATGCTAGGGACGTGTCCAAACCTTCTTTATCCGCTCGCGGGTATTTGTGTCTCGCGTAGCTCGTCCAGATTGTCGCAAGCATGGCTGTTTTATTTGTGCAGTCTAACGCCTTTCCCAGTCGCAGCCCGTTGCTATCTATACGTCCCCCACGCAAGTGTCGTCGTTCACCAAGATCGACCCATTGATTCTTTTACACACAGGAAATCGAGGCAATTACTGTTGGATTCATCCCTTGGATCTCTTTGGGGTCGGCGTCGGAGGGCGGCGTTATGGACGATGTGGAACAAGGGATAAGGGAAAGGAGGAGCGCGGCTATGGCTTACAAAGTTGGGAGACTGGTGGAAATAAAAGCGAAACACGCAGGTATTTATGAAGCACGGGAATCAGGGCTCGATCCGGGCTTTGGAGGCACCGTCATACCTCACACATGGGACGTCATTCAACGACACAGGCTTTCCAGGCGCTCCCCTTTTCCTCTGCGTCGTCCTCCTCCTCCTCCACCCTTCCCTCATCACACCATTCCACGCCCCTCGGCGTCACCGCGCTCCATCACCCAGTTCCGGCCCCCGTTTCCCTGTGCATCCCCGGGCCGTCCTCTCCTCCTTCTCCTCCGCCCGCTACCTACCTCATCCCTTGTGCTCTGTCACTGACCAAGCCAGCAGCAGCAGCAGTAGCAGCAGCAACAGCAACCGCGTGCAAAGAAATGAACTTGAGAACTTGACTATATACGAGCTTAGGAATGCCTGTAGGGAAAGGGGCCTTACTGTTGCTACCAGGGCGAGGAGGAATGAAATGATCGAGATGCTCCGGGGTCAGGTAGGGAGGGAGGGAGGGAGGGAGGGCGGGGAGTAAGCGGCCTAGTTTTGACAGCCACTCCTCTCTTCAAATAATAAAATGCCACCCATTCTTGTCACCCTGTACCCGTACCTCTCCTCACTCTCCCACAGCCCCTCCCCCTTCCTCCCTGCCTCCTTCCCCCCCTACCTCGCCTCTGTATGCATCGATGACTCTGGTGGCTTTGCGAGAAGCGGTTCGAAAATGCGGCCTGAAGCCGGGCGCCAGGTGCAAGGCGGAGCTAGTGGAATTGCTTACTCAAGCGGAGGTAGGCAGGAAGGGGGGGAAGGATGGAGGGAGGAAATATGGAGAAAATACGGGAAAACGAGGAAAATGCTTGGTGTGTGAGGATTCTGTTGGCATGCCCATGACCCCGAGCCTCTCGTCTTAGCTCCAGGACGAGGTTGTGGGCAGGGAAATGGAAACCACCCTGACCACAGCTTCTAGAAAGCCTAGGGTTGGGGTTAGGGTTGGGATTAGGGTTGAGGTTAGGGTTGAGGTTAGGGTTGAGGTTAGGGTTTAGGGCCGCTTACGCAGTCTGCCGCCTCGTTCCCTGCACAGGTTGAGTTGACAAAGAACATGGAGGAGGAGGAGGAGGAAGGGGGGGAAGAGGAGGAGGAGGAAAAGGAGAAGGCGAAAGGCGCGGCGCCCATGAAAGGGAGGCGGCGGGGAGGGCCGCCTCCTCAACCCTCCCTTTCCACGATGAGGCGGAGACGAGGGCTTCCTCGCATGCACACCTTGGTCACGGAGGACCTGAGGGAGAATTATGGTGGGGAGGGAGAGAGGAGGGGGAGGTGGAGGAGGACTTTGGTGATGATCATCTGTTGTGGCACAGTGGGGGTAGGCGGGCCTCATGGTGATGACCCCTCCCTCCCTCCCTCCCTCCCTCCCTCCCTCTCACCA